CTATCCGTCCTGCACCACTGACATGGGTAAATCGTGCCGGAAAATCCGAGGAAGTGTCTCGGCCAACACAGGAATCGAACACGTGACCCACTTTTTTTTTAGCGAGTCTTACTCAGAAATCACGCTCCTATCGTGTGTATAAGAGAGAGAGAGAGAGAGAGAGAGAGAGGGAGAGGGAGAGAGAAATGGGGTTTAACGTCCACTCAACACAAACAAGGTCATTTCGGGACTATAATAGACAGAGTGATAAGGTTAATATGTAACCAAGATATTGACCCTCACACCTCCATTTCAATAACTTCAAATACAGTTTTAAATAAATTCTGCAAGAGGAGTTGACCCTATCCCCTATTTCTACGAAATCAAATACAGTTTTAAATAAATTCTGCAACAAAACTAGCAAAATGTCTATATGCTTAGTACATATTATCATCACGTGCCCTGCCTTCATAGCGGTTTAGTTATTTAGAACATCCTCAAGACATGCGCCTTTATTTGAACAATTACTAAACGTGCTCAATTAAAGTATAGATTCAATCGTAACCGGATTCTAGTTTATGTTTCCTGGATACGAGGGGGTTGGATGGCCGAATGGTTAGCACGTGCGCGCTGTATCATAAAGCCTGTCTGTCATTGAGTCAACTGGCGTGGTTTCGAGTCCCCGGTTGTACGTGACAAGGAGCAGGGTCGCCTGTCCAACCTCGTGGGTTTTCTCCGGGTCCTCCGGTTTCCTCCCACTGCTAAAGACCCCTACGCACAAGCGAATTATTGAAATAAAATTAAACCATATGTTAGTCCCGAAATGACCTAGTTTGTGTCGAGTGGACGTTAAACCCCATTTCTCTTTCTCTCTCTCTTTCTCCTGGATACGAGAGCAATTCTACGCTAAATCTATTTGTTAAGGCCAGCTCAATTTTCACAAGGTCGCTGAGATGTAAATTAGGTTAGGTTACGTGATTGTTGGCGAGATTGTATAGGTTAGGGTTGTTAGGGAAAGCATTGGGGCTAGGTCCAGGGTTAGCACTAGCCCTGTTTACATTTCGTGACCTTTAACCAAACTTGAAGTTGGCCTTATCAAATACATCTAACAGCATTTTTATATTTTACCCGGATACTGTTTCCAGGACACAAGATGGCTTTTAATTACCATTATCAACACTTTCTCCTTTTTTTTTAAATCAAAATCTGCTCTGCGTTTTGGTTGGTTGTTATTTTTATATTTTACAATTATGTTAGTTGATTTTCATTTGCGAATATGCAGTGTCATCCCAGTAGTTACCGTCAGCAAAAAACACATTTTCAAAACACGCATTACCACGGGTCATATACTCCGTTAACGTAGAACATATAGAAATAAATCTCGCTGCAATCCTTGACTGTCTAGATAATGGTTTTTTTTCACGGAGGGCCTGACAAGGAACAGTGTCTAGTCGTTCGGAGGGGACGAATATCTGAGGTTCCTTGTACCCTGCATTAGCATACGGGGTCACTTTGGCTAAGTTGGTAAGACGCTGGCTCGCTTGTCTAGAGGTCGGGTGTTCGATCCTTGCATTGGACGAGAAAGTTCATGCAGATTTTCCGGCGTGGTTCCCCCTTGTCAGTGATGCAGGACGGAAGGCCTGGCAAGGACAGTTGTCTAGTGGTTCGTCGGGGACGAAAATACGAGGTCCCGTGTACACATTGGCGTGCACGTAAAAGATCCCTTGAAAGTGGGAATTCGATATAAGAGTAGGCCGTAGCCCCGCTGTCCGGGTAAAATTACCCTCATAGCACACTGTGTGGCGTATGCCAGTCTTCATTAGCCTAGTTCGGAGCAGAACAGTAGGACGTTAAACCCCATTTCATTTCATTTCATTTCCCATTAGCATAAATAATAGAGAGAGGAAAGAAAATTGGGTTTAACATCCATTCGACACAAACTAGGTCATTTTGGGACTAACGTATCGTTCAATTTTTCTCCGGGTCCTCGTTTTCCTCACACTGCTAAAGACCCCTACGCGCAAGCGAATTATTGAAATAAAATTGAACCAGGTGTCAGTCACGAAATGACCTAGTTTGTGTTGAATGGACGTTAAACCCCATGTCTCTAACTCGCGCTCTATCATCACATATAGTTGACAGATTGACCTTAAAATTTGAAATATGTGTTTTTATATTTTAATGTTTTGTTTTCGTAAAACATTTTAAATAAATATTTTATTTTCATTTACATCAATTGTCGCAAACGTGTCAATCAAAATATTTTAATTATTTTATTTACATGATTTTCTTTTGATGGTCTAGTGTTAGTGCATCATTGACAAGTCGAACGTCAGGTAGTCAGCCATATTAACAATACATTGTTTAAAAACATTAACTATAATTACATCATGGATCTATTCATGTCTACACGTATATTAATTAGATTTGTGGTATTCTACATGAAAACAATTGCTGAAAGGACATATTTTGAAAAACGTAAACGTTGTTAAAATCATGGTGCAGACGGGTTATTTTTTGCTTTTAGACAGAGAGAGAGAGAGAGAGAGAGAGAGGGGTGGGGTTTAACGTCCACTCGACACAAGAGAGAGAGGGGTAACCTCAACTCGATGTCGAGAGAGAGAGAGAGAGCGAGAGAGAGAGAGAGAGAGAGAGAGAGAGAGGGGGGGGGGGGGGTTTAACGTGCACTCGACACAAACTAGGTCATTTCGGGACACAGATGTGGTTCAATTTTATTTAAATAATTCGCTTGCTCGTATGGGTCTTTAGCAGTGGGAGGAAACCCACGGAGAAAACTCACGATGTTCGACAGGCGATCCTTCTCCTTGTCACATCCCCAGCCGAAGCAAAACAGTAAGATTGGACTAGTTTGGATTATCACCTTAAAGATAAGCGATTTAAGGTGACATGTAAAACAGATTAATAAGTTTAATCTTGAAGAATAGATTATTACACTACTTGTCGTTACCATTATTTATTGTTTTGTTTTGTCAATAAATTGATCACTTGTGGAACATTCTAAACATCTGAAGTGGTAATTTCTACAGCATGACAAATAACTAGATATAGACATTGTGAAAAGTCGAGTAAAATATATCTAGAATGATTAATACAATTATCTTACTTCCGTAATAGGATTTGAAGTTAAAGTCTCTGAGTATTAATTGCGTAAGATTTGAAATTAAAGTCTATGAGAGTTAGTTGTGTGATTTGAAATTAAAGACTCTGGTCGTTAGTTGCGTAAGATTTGAAATTAAAATCTCTGAGCGTTAGGTGTGTAAGATTAGAAATTAAAGTATCTCGGCGTTAATTGCGTAAGATTTGAAATTGAAGTCTCTGGGCGTTAGTTGTGTGAGATTTGAAATTTAAGTTTCTGCGCGTTATTTGCGGGAGATTTCAAATTAAAGTCTCTGAGCGTAAGTTGAATACGATTTGAAACTAAATTCTCAGGGCGTTAGTTACGTAAGATTTGAAATTAAAGCCTATGAGCGTTAGTTGCGAGAGGTTTAAAATTAAAGTCTATGAGCGTTAGTTGCGAAAGGTTTGAAATTAAAGTCTCAGGACGTCAGTTGCGTGAGATTTGAAATTAAAGTCCCCGGGCTTCAATTGCGTGAGATTTGAAATTAAAGTCTCTGAGCGTTAGTTGGGTTAGATTTGAAATTAAAGTTTCTGAGCGTTAGTTGCGTGAGATTTGAAATTAAAATTGCTAGGCCTTAGTTGTGTAAGATTTGAAATTAAAGTTTCTGAGCGTCAGTTTCGTGACATTTGAAATTAAAGTTAGTTTTTGAGCGTTAGTTGAAATTAAATTCTCTGGGCGTCGGTTGCGTAAGAAATAAGACACACATCGATGTAAAGGCTCTTTGATATTTTGGAGAACTTATTGAAATCAGTAGCATATCCTACCCCATGTACGACATCCAGCACTACTTATAGGTAGACGGAACTCTGGCTTTGGACTAGGTAGACGTCAACCTCCACGCATGTAACTTGGTTACACTAAAGAGATCCAACTGCTGACGACCATTATCTGAGTAATTGATAAAATTCGGTCGGAATTTCGACATCAACAACATTTTCTTCGTTTCGACATTGTTGAACTTTTACTGCATCGACCATGGTGAGAAAACTTGAATCTTTTCAAAGAAATGATTGTTTTGCAACCGGGAATCCATGTGAATTATGGTCTGCGAGCTGATAACCTTCACGTAGTCACCAAAGTTTTAGAAACACGAATTCATAGACAATTATTAATTCAGAAATAAAAACGTGAAGCATAGAAAGATGACAATGAAATAGACTATTAACAATTATTTTCGAAATTACTTTAAGCATAGATACTTTTCCAACGTCTTGGGGTTCTTTCACGTGTACGCCGGTTACGATATATCCATTAAAGCTCAGGTGTTAGTAGATTATATTCATATTTGGTACGATATATCCCTGACAGACTCAGCCATTCGTAAACTATATTGATATTTGGTATGAAATGAAATGAAATGAGGTTTAACGTCCTACTGTTCTGCGAGTATTTGGTACGATATATCCCTGCCTGAAAAATTCAGCTATTAGTAGATTATATTCATATCTGGTATGGGATATCCCCCAAAACTAACTAAAGATATTCCACAAAGTGTACTAGATATCCCCGAAAACGCCAGCTATAATTATTTAACATAGGGTACGAGTTGTCTCTGGAAATTGCAACTATAAGTAGACTATATTCATAAAATGAATCCACCATTAAAGAATGTATTTTTAAAGACCATATTAGGTATTTCGTTACATGTCTGTTTCTGAAAATCAGAACATTTTCATCATTTTCCCATATCGGTATAATTTGTCCTGTTAAATATAGCCATATAAACCCGTTTTACTATCATACGACAAGTGTTTAGTTCATGTACTAGTCATTCTTAACATGCTAGCTGACACGTACTTATTCATATCCGTTCACAGGGTGTTCCCTAAATAATTGACGTTGATACGGGTATTCCTGATGACGTATACTAGTTATTCAACCGGCTGCCTTGGAGATAATGCGGAAAACGCAACAGTATAAATAGAACGGACAGGGGACGTTTACAGCACATTAAATCGAAAAACCACAAAGTGACATACGTTGATATAGCTTACTCTCCAAGCGACGCAAGTTTTTTTTGTTGAAACTTCGGTGAGTAAAGTTTTTAAATGTCTTTCTTATTTCAGATAAATTATAAATTGATTTTAGTGAGTTTTGATTTTTCTTTTTGTTTTTTTTTTTGTTTTGTTTTGTTTTGTTTTTTTGGTTTTGTTTTTTGTTTATCGTCAGTTCATTTACTAAATAAATGTTCAATTAGGGTTGTATCGTGGATTAGATGATTTATACTGGGAAGGAAAGAGGTGGGGATGGGGAGGGTGTTATAGGGTGTTTGTCATCAGTTTCCTTTTTGAATAGTATTGTTTTTGACGCATTTACGAAAAGTTAGTCGCTTAAAAGGGAAATGTTCAGAATTATATTTACAAGATGGTGTTCATAATATTTTATTATTCGCGTCCTGATGAATTTGTATTATTGATAATAAAAAAAATATTATCCGGACTTTCGAAAAGTGATAATTTACTTACCGCGTCCAACAAGGAAACAATTAGGAACGGCTTGGTTAAATATTGGTAAAACGTGTCCATTCTTGTTGGTTCGTTAGTGGTATTGTTTTTGTCGGGGTTTTTTTCGAAAAGCGATAATTTACTAACCGCATCCCCGACAAGGAAGCAATTAGGATCGCTTTGGTTAAATATTGGTAAAACTTGTCCACCCTTCTTGATTTGTGAGTAGTTTTAATAGTATTGTTTATACTGGTAAAACAACCCCCACCCACCCGCATACCATATACTAAAGTAAAGGAATACATCGTTAATAATTAATTAGTTCTAATTCCTATCAATTATAGGTAATAATTATCACTTGTCGCTTGAGAAGGAGACGGAAATTTGTAGGTGTTGAGATTTATGTTTGAAATAAGGTGTTAATATAGTTTTACCATCCGCACTTATTAATTGTTCGTTTACCATCTTTGATAATGAAACTCCGAGCCCGTGACATTCTAGTATAAAAAATGAAATTGGGTTTAATGAAGTAAGTTCTAGATATAGAGGCCGGTGCCCTGCCAATGTACCCTCGGGTGTATTAACAGCCGATCGTGTATCTATAACTTGATTCAGATGTTTTCTAACTTTAACAAGTGGAACCAAGTGCAAACTACTCATGTATTACATCTTTATGCTGCGTTTTTCTGTTCTAATGATACAGTGCGGAGATAGCATATCGTCTGTTTATATGTAATGACGTACCTTGGGGATTAGGGTAATGTACATTGTTTAGATGGTGCCAGAATATCAGGTATTAAACTGATGTAATCAAACCGTACCCTTGTCATACACCATTTATATATTCTACGTTAAAGTCGGGATCATTTCAAAACATCTAGTACGATTATTCTAATATTATATTAGTTTGTCTATTTGGAGAGTCCTATCAACCTGAAATCGAAAGTAGTATTAGCAAGCCAATATAATTTGTCATCAATTACTGAAATTATTGAATATACATATCGATGTAGAGATTCTAAGAGTATATATGCACTGTTTCTATCTCTAAAACGTCAATCGGGTAGTCAACCGATTATATTAGAAATGAAATATTTTTTCAAACGTTTGTATTTTAGAACTATGAGAATTTATGAACAATATTAATTAATGGTATCAAGTTACTTTTAATTAAAGTGGTTCTCATAACATGTCGAATGCACGACACTTGTAATAGCTAATATATAAATAGGTAATCAATTTTATCATGTTAAGCGTCAGTAAACAATCGTACTCCGTTAACTGTGTGAATTTCCCGAATATATATAAGGTTGTATCAAATGCATCATCGTGATTGTTGCACAATTTGCAGGTCTATTAATAGATGTCTAGGAATATCATCGTGATGTAAATATTATAGTACACCTGGGTTTATAAACAATCCATCACACGTCTGCAATTTGATCCCAACAAGAAAAGAAACGAATAATTCCTGATATTTACCAGGCTATTTCTGACTCAGAGGAAACGTGTTTTTATTTATTTCATCTCTCAAAATCTGATAATATGGAAAAAGTACAAAAATAAAGGTTGGCTCAAATAAATTAGAGATGGCACGAGGGTGATAAACCAAACGGCTTTTTTTTTTAAAATCGATACCTCAATCGTTTTTAATTATGATTAAATATATAATATTCTTTTAAATATAATAGATATAGTATTGCATTAGTTTTCTTAGAAAGGGTAGACAAGAATGATGATTTCCGACAAGTAGATGGAACATATTTTTGTTGTGCTTTATATGTTCCATCAATTCATCTTATTAATTTGAAGGAAATAGGTCATTTATTTCGCAATATTTTAAATGCATTACACTTTGATAAAGTTATAAATCATGTATATGGCAACGACTTCGGGTGCAGTTTTAATTTTTTTATGATTTATTGTCAGCCTTAATTCTATTTTCGATTTGTCAACTTGTAAACGGGTTTTGAATTTTAACCCATAGACCTAAATACACAAAGACGTACTGGCGGAATTTTTATTAGATAATACAAAAATGTTCGGAACTAAACCTGTTTTGTTTTACAGAGATATATTATTTAAATAATATGTGTACGATTTATCCTCGAGCACATTCCATTGTATTGCATTGTAATATGCACCATAAAACATTGTATAATGATGCCAGTAGAAGTATATGAAAAATTGAAAATAATATTTCCTTAAAAAACAGACCTATGGCAAGCGTGATAATAAGTCTATAAGAGCCAGTTTTACACGAAGTAGAAAATTGATATTCGAGGCATACCCCAAAAAAATTTCCGAAGCATCTAAATGAAATGAAATAAGATTAAATATCTCTAATTTAAAGTTTAATAAATTAGCCCCGTTTAGCGTAGTTGGTAATTATATTTTTGATTAATTGAGATATATGCATTTTACACTACGAGTGTCATAATAATAGTATCATCCAGTGCAAAGCATAAAATAAAGCGTATTACGTACATCGTGTTATAGGCACCTAGATAATATCGATGTAAGTAAGATAATAGGCTTGCACGTAGGTAATACTTAACCCACTAGTGCAGACCAAACCCCCAGAGATATCGTCATTTCTAACAAGTTTACCAAGTCAAAATATAAATATGCGTCTCGAAATTAGAGATGCGCGTCCTTTGTATTTATTTCAATGATGTATTAATAAATAATACTGATAAAAACATTATTTATATAATATTTAATGTCAGAATGAACTAAAGCTTAAATTTCTGGCTGATTGACTTCATTCGGTGTTCTACAAGATTTTTAATACCGTTTGATATACTTATGTTCCTTCGTTACACCAACCAGATATTTGCAGGTGCCCGATTCCCGTCAGTAGTTAAATTAGGAATAGTTTATATATTTGTTAGATGTTTGTACCTATGTGAATACAGGTATTAATTATTAGAGTCTAAGAGACGATTGCCGGTGCACGATACTGGTCAATACTATAGCTGAAATTAGGAGCAGTTTGTTTTTCTGTTGTTCCCATGTTATAACATTTTGTATCAAACGTAAAAGCGAGTATTAATGATGGATTAGTTTAGAGTCTAGGTGTGCTATAATCGGACGTATTATCTCCTGTTATTGTAGATTAACCCGTAGATACAACAGGTGGGATTAGTGTTGTTCTACCTAGACAAACTGACTCACCTCACGTAGGTAGGTTTTACTGTGTTTTACCACCGATGATATATTAGTTTTAGTATATTATAACGTCAATATTTACGTACGTGTTAATTAACTTAGACGTGTAACCTTTCTTTACTAAATTAATTACACGTTTATCTTTAACTTAAAGCGAGGGAGACAAACACGTACATACACAAAAATAATAGACTATTCTTAGCGGTTTGAATTTTTCTAAATAAATACGAGGTGATATCAAAAGAGCGGACATGTTCTGCCTTGTGTATCATAAATACAAATACTCTTCGCGAAATGGCAAGATATCGGAAACTACGGGATAATGTCGAGATAGTGATTGACTTTGGAACTTCAGGGGAATTTAATTTAGACATATGTTAACGTTTAAATTTTACGGAGAATTACAAAAAGAGAAATGATCAGTGTTATAAAATGTTTGAATAACTTTAAGTCTGGCCAATAACCTTGTAGGGTGTACTTTTAATAAACCGACCTTCACCCCATCGCTACATGTGCTAATTAAAATCAGCATGGTCTGTTAACTGAATTAAGTAAATCATCTCTTTAAACAGAAGAAATGCCAATTTCAATCATATTTTCTTTTACAAAAAACAAAAAAAAAACTCAAGTTGAACGTTCCACCGAACAGTTGGAGTATTTCAAGTGATCAAAATATTCAGCTACGTCAACAAATTGACATAAGTTTTGGATATGTCGTCGATGCTTGGCTAAATTGTCACAACGTTGTATTGAATACATAGTTAAAGCTCCATACCAGCAAGCATAACTTTGTCGTCATAAATCAGCGTTTAATTAACTGTTGAAGATGTGTGACAGGGCCTTTAGTAGACTGTAAATGCAATGTCGTGCAGTTTATGAGGAATAAGAAGATGTGTGATAAGGCCTTAAGTTTACTTTAAGGATAAGTTCGTCATCTGATACCCCGAGTCAAACAGTTCATTCGTTTCAAACTCCGGCTGACATGTTTAAATTCTAGATGACATGCGACATGCTAATTGTGTATTCAAAGCCGAAAATAGATTAAAGTGAAGTAAAATATACTTTTATGCCTAAAAATATACTTGAAAGACGGCCCCAAAACATCCGGTTACAATGAGAATTGTCAGGTTTTATTGTTCAAGTATAATTTATGATTCTTTTAAATATCACATTAGATTCTTTACTCAATGAAAGGCGTCCTCATATCTACACAAACGACAATTTATAGTTTATAGTCCTTTGCTTGGGGGTTGAACAAGGTTATTTAATTTCATCGGAAGAAACGACTCCCGAACACTTCCAGCCGTTTAAATAGTGCAACCGTTTGGTCCGTTTAAATATGCATAGGTCCAACAGTTTTGGCCGTTGAAATATCCAGGAATCCTTGGCGGTGGAGAGTACGCGTATCCTTCAGTTAGTGTTAGTTGTATTTTACGTCCGCTTCCACCGAGGTGATATCGCATGTTTGGGTCGTTTAAATATCCTTGGTTCTCCCACAGTTTGGGTAATTCAAACAGCCTTTGGTTTCACACCTTTCCCCATTCAAATATCCTTGGGTCTCACACGTTTAGACCTTTAGAAATCTATGGGTCAATGTACTTTGTCAATGAGAAAAAACAAAACGCAGGTTAATTATATCATTATTCATATACAAGGAAACAAACCAAACCCAAAACCATAATGGATGATATAATTCGTTTAGGAATCAATCTAATTTCATATTGTTTTTATTTACTATAATAAGATCCCCTGTTAAATATACCTTAACTACCATGTCTTAAAGCAATAAGAAATACAGAACAACAATTGTATTGTTGTCCGTCAGATGTATGTATATACTATATCCTACCATGATCATTATTTCAAAGCCCTATCAATATTTCTTTTAATCATCTATCATTCAACGGTTTCCTTTATTTTTTTTATCTAATTTGACAATCGAATTTAAAAACGCTACCAGCAAGTTATTATGTAGATAGATATCTAAATTATCAGACAGATAACGTGACAGATATATCGTGCGATTTGATTGGATATTCGGTTGACGAATGGGTTAGTAGGTTATCAAGATGTATATAAACCCCTAGTCGACGTTGAGTGAGTATTCAACACGGCCGTCAGAGAAAGCATCAAGTACCTGTATTATTGTATAGTGATATATATATTATTATCAGTTATAATAGACGGGTTTCTACTTGTTCACATTCTATTGGATTTATTTTAATCTATCCTTGGTAGGTTTCAATTTGACTTTATTTTCTACTTTATATTTGGTATTTCTTATTAATTTCACCTGTCTTTTAATTGGTCAAGAATTTTAATTTTATTTTCATTCTCTGTTTTTGGGGTTGTTTTTTTTTTAAATTTATATTTTTGATATGGTTATTTTTTAGAGACCTTTATTCCTACTTTAGCAAATATATTCCGTTATTATGTCATGTATTGCGTCATTCATTCATTTTAAGAGAGAAAATCGGGAAAACAGTTAAATTGGTAGATGGTTTATTCTTATAGCTATCCTTTGAAGCTTCAATATGTGCGTGGGTCTTTAATATAATTGACCTAATAAATCAATATGTTTAAAGAATTTTTTAATGTAAAATAAACGCAGATGTTACCTTTTCTGCGTTCAGTTATTTGCTATATGTATATATATCCAGTATTATATACATGTATATATTGCATCATAGGATTTTAGCTGAATATGCACAAAGTCAATAAATATAGATATGGCATGTATGTAAACATTGGCGCGGCAATACAAGAAAAAAAGGGCCCATTACAATGTCTGTCTTGTCTACAGGAAAAGGTCAGCGTGCATTAACAAGTGTAAATTATTATATAAATTGACTTTACCTGTACAGGTGCAAATTACAGGTGGAATTGGTATTTCGCAAGCTTTTAGCGATACCTTTCATTTTACGTGCGTTTTATGTGCAGGTATACACACCTGTATTCTATAGTGGCTGCTTTAGCCTATTATATATATATTAGTATGCCACGCAGATTTTAGTTTCTCTACGGATTTGATTGTGTTTGTAGTTTCAGAATAAAAGGAGCTTAGTTGGGTTTACCTGAGATTTCTATTTTCATCTCGCATGTTTTTCTAAGATTTTTTTCAATGTTTGATCTACCTTAACTTAATTTGTGTTCTTTTTTATCTTTTCAGAAAACACAATAATTTAACAAGATGTTTTGGCCACAAAGTGATGAAAGCAAATCCCAAGCTGGATGTCCTGAAACAAAGACAAGAAGTATCTTCCAGTCTTTTGTAGACAGGTAAGCATCAATACATTTTGCTTTCTTTATTTCGATCCGGTTTCCTCCCACTGCTAAAGAGCCCTACGCGCAAGCGAATTATGTAAATAAAATTAAACCATATGTTAGTCCGGAAATGACCTAGTTTGTGTCGAGTGGACGTTAAACCCCATTTCTCTCTCTCTCTCTCTCTCTCTCTCTCTTTATTTCGACTGAAAATCTTTATATTTTCTGCGATAGCCCTAACAAGCGGATCGTATGACTGAAGATAGACCAACGGCTGATTTCATTTGGCTATCTCAGAAAATTATGACGATCGTTGAAAATGTCAAATTCTATATCTCATATTATTTAATATAACTTGAAAATTGTTTCATATTTTGAGTCTACTTGGTATTTGAGGATTAGGATTTGAGCTCTACTGTGGTAAGGTTCTTTTGTTCGCCACTTCATTTAATACATGTACTTATGTTTCCGTTTAATTGTATTTTTCAGATCGTATAGAAATAATCTACGACATCTACAGAATGACACAGAGGAGACAGTAGCAACGACATACGATAAAATGATGTCTGTCTTTAACAATCACGTGAGCGCAGCTCAAAGTTTTGTAGACCAATCGCAATCGGCTTTACAACAGATAAGCCAAGTATCACGTGCGCTGTTATCCACGTCAATGCGACCAATCGAATGCTACAGCTGAATAATTTGAACTATAAATAGAGGATATAATAAGATTTATTGCAGAATAATAAGCCACGGGTATAGACTTTTAAAGTGCGAGAGGAGAAATGGACATGCATTTGAACGTACTGCCAACAAAACGTAGATCTGGTACGAAAATATATCGTAGGAGAAAGAGCCGGGGGAGGAGTCACGTGTTAGAAATCTCTTACCACAAGTTATTGTGTTCACTTGAACTGTCGTGTTTACATAATTCCACGCTGGGACAATATCTTGCGTTTATTTCAAGAACGAATCTCGTAAATCATAACAATTGTAGTCAGTTTTTAACCAGTTATGTCATTGATCTTAATTAATTAATGTTCAGAGATAATTCCAATTATCGTATATTTTTAATAACACATAGTATATATGGACATAGTATATATGGACAATACACAAAGCATTGTATGTTTATAATTATGGAACACCCGATACCACTTCTGTATATACTGTGAGTTATTAGGACATCTTGTACTTATCAAAGATCAAAATATAACTTAAATAACTGTCCCTTATTGAATTGTAAACAGATTCTAACACAGATTAATAAATTAAATGTATTTATTAGAATTAATATAACTACGTGCTCGTTGTGTTTAGTTGATATTAGTCACGTACATTACGTGCACTGTTTCGTATATTAATTCGTTTTAATGTTTTTTATTTATTTTCGTACAGAGAAATCTATATTTTTGTATATTAGTACACGAACAAGTGCAATGTTGAGCTATAATCCACGTCCCAGTTTTTTTATTAATGTATTAACTTATGTTTCATATAACTCTCTAATTTATGTCCAAATAACAACAATTGTATCCACTAGACGGTTTAAATATGTGATATATATATATATATATATGTCTGTTTTTACGCCATTTTGAATTTTAAATTGTAAATACGTCATTTATTATCCTTCATTACGTCATTTATCATTTAATTTATTGTTGAAATGTTTGAAACGACTGTTGTATATCGTTTATATTTATATTTAAATACTCACGTGTTGTAAAAATATTTATTAATACATGTGTCTTTATTTTCTCAATGAATGTTGTGTTCAACTCAGAAACATGAGGTGAAATTAATAAAATATCCTTAAAAATTCATTAGGATTTATCTTGTTTGTTTATCGTGAATCCGGGCCCTGTTTCACGAAATTTTAACTAAAGATAAAATCCAAATTTTAGTAGATACTTCAATTTTGATTGGCTAAACACTAAAATCAATCTAAAATTATCCAATCAAATTACTAAAATTTAGATTTTATCTTAGTTAAAATTTCGTGAAACAGGCCCCTGGTTGTAATAGTGGACCATGCTAAGGTAGAAGTATGGCCAAGAGGCATCTACATCAGGATCGTAACTAGCTCAGAGCAACGAAGGGGACGGGAAGTCTTCTCTAGGGAATGCTATCTGTTGTTTTTATCGTCGATAATTTTTTCACGGGGGGGGGGGGGGGGGGGCGGGGGGCGAAACTGTTTGCAGCTGCCCCCCCCCCCCTCCACCAAAGTTACGGGCCTGATCTACATGAAGACTACCTTGGACGCAGCTACCCATAAGGCATTTGCGCCTTTATCTATAGAGAAGGGATCGAATAGGTCTCTTAATGTTCAACCTGTCCTTCTTCTATTACTGTTTAACACCCGCTTCCCCTCGCGGTGATATCACAGACTAATATCTTAGTGCACGCAGGGGTCTCTCCTGTGGGAGGAAACCGGGTGACCCAGAGTAAACCCACGAGGTTGAGAAGGTGCCCCCTATGTCCAAGACACACGTACGCTCACACCAGGGATCGACACCACGACCACAAACTAGAGGTGACCGGCCAGCTTGGTCTTTAAACGCGACAGTCTAGACCACTAGGCCATACAAAGCCTCTATATGGACTCCTCTTGCAAGTTTTTCAGGAAACACTGCGATGTCACCCTAGATGGAAGCGAACTTTTAGCCCCATTGAGAGAGAGAGAGGGGAGGGGGGGACTACAGGGATCAACCAAGTCCGGTGCTGACGTGTCGAGGATAGTGAATATATGGGCGAAGAATAGGTTGTTTTATATGATGCAGATGGGGTGAGAGGAATAATGGAGGCCTCTTCTTCACATTAATGGTGCACGTAAATGATCCCTAAATAGATTTAATTTGATAAAGTTTGACCACCTGTCGCGATGATTCGCATGAAAAAAAAAACCGACCCGTTGTTTTTGATCACGTTAGTAATATAAGCAAAGAAAATGAAATTGGGTTTAACGTCCTACGTACATACGTCATACAGTGTGCCATGAGGGAGAGTGGAACTACGGCCTACTCTTATAACGAATGATTAATATATTTTAACATTGAGATCACGCACTTCCGTCTTCATATTCCCGGTTGGTGCAGACGAGTCAGACATTAAACCCCATTTTATTTCATTTACTTTCGACCACGGTGGTGGTGCATGAAATCACAGTTTAGTAATAACTGCACATGCGGACCTAGTAGGTCGCACCCTCACCCCCCACCAACCCGAAATTGGATTTCTGACTGAAAAAGCCACTTTATAATTCATTATGTTGGGACCGGATTCTTGTCTCAGATCACTGGAAATCGTATTTCTGGGATTCACATTCTCTTGATCTGCCCTTGAACTGAAACGAATAAATATTTAATCATAGCATAATCGAGTCCCTGACCTATGACTATGTTAATGTTTGTTACTGGCTGAATAACACAGAGTTGCCGAGTTAGATCCCGGTATTGGTGTACACGTAAAAGAACATTTGCAATCCGATGTACGAATATGCCGTAGAGCCGTTGTCGGGGCAAAATTTCCCACAGTTGGTATTCGATATAAGAATAGGTCATAGTGCCGATGCCCGGGCAAAATTTCCCCTCATAGCACACTGTATGGCGTATGGCCGTCTTCATTAGCCCAGTATAGAGGCAGAACAGTAGGACGTTAAACCCCATTTCATTTCTGTAATGATAATGTTACTGCTTCATGCTTAATATTATCATTTAGCGTTTGCCTAGTAAAGGGAGACAAATCCATTTAATTCAAGGGTAATTTCATTACGAGTGTGAGGCAGTGACAGTATTCACAATTTAACGAGAAACATAAATTTTACATTATGCTAAACAGGGGGATTTCCCGGACCCCCTTTCAAACACTTATTACATTGGTTGGTTAATATAGTGCCTAAACTATTCTGAGCTCGGTGCAAGTTGTGCAACTCGACTCCTTCTTAGTGATGTCCTTCATAGCACACTGCATGGCGTATGCCCATCTTCATTGGGGCAGAACAGCATTTCATTTACAATTATGCAAACGAAAACCTCTCTATGGTTGTGGTCTTAGATTACACCGTGTTTCGGACAAGCTGTTTTGTGCGACGTGTTTCCACGCGACTTAAGCTAAAAACAATGACATCAAAATATTGTGTAAACAAGGTACGAAAATTCGACCAATATCAGGACATTAATCGTATGTAGAAGGATCATTTTCTTCATTTTCACCACAGTTTTATAATGTGTATGATCATCAATAATAGAGTTCATTTAAATACTCCCCATAGTGATTCGTCTTGCTAGACCCAGCGAGCCAACTGATGTTCAATCGTGTTGTCCAATCGTAGTATTCGGGCAGAAAAATTCTCTCGGACTTCGGTTTGAAGGGGGTTTCTATAAGGATTCGACCCGCTGAATCCAATGAGCTTGTGTAGTCAACCTAAAACTGACAGCTAATTCCGACTTGGGGCTAAATTCAAAATGGAAGCTAAATTTGGAGGGAAACTCATGGAGTTCCCTAAAAAGGTGTGTAGTAATCTGAAATGTAAGTTTTCGTTGGATAATATATCTTCAATATTTGTAGATTCAGAATCTGTCAAGAACGAAGTTTACCCCACTAAATTAAAGTAGGTGGACTATATTTCCAGGTTTGTCGATCTGCTCCCGGACTATAGTGCAATGCTGATCCTTACACAGTTCACACCTCTGATTCCCTGTGTATCCGCTCTCTTTTACTGACGCACATTAGTTTATAGATTTGTTTTGTTCTAACGGCTGAATTTTACCCCACTAACATTAAAAGGACAATAACACTCTTGCTGGCTTGACTATGGAAGTATAACGTTGCCAATATTATTTCATTGTTCACGGTGCAAACTGCAAATGTCAGTAGTTCAAAATACCTATTTTAGTTTTACAATTTACAATTTCCATTGCTCAACAATACCAATGCCACGGTGTTGAAATACAGAATACACTTTTCAATAATACAAAATACAGTAGAATAGTTATTTTGCACATTACACTTCTGCATTCTGCATTTTGCATAATAGATATATGCATAATAGAAACTTGCAAAGTAGAACATATACCTTATATGGGATGTACGACGTACGTCATTTGCATACGGAAAAAAGTCCGGACTATGACGGAAATTAATGATTTACGCGATAAAGCCATATGGTCACCTGGATCCGAATGAAGTTAGCACACATATTCCTAGCGCCAATAAAAACCTAGATATAATTATCACGAAAATAATTGTTACCTTTATATTAGAAAACGACATATTAATGCAAAGTATATATGTAATAGACCCCCCCCCCCACCACCACCATGAAAAAAAGATACTATTACCGTAAATATACTAAAATATCGCACACTAGGCTAACTGAGCGCGCAGAAAAGTGGTGCGTCCACGCTGCATCAAAACGCACCGAAACCAGCTTTGGTGGCAAAATGTTTTTTTGTTTCATGGAATCAAGGGATGAATAAACTACTAGAATACAAATTTTCAGAAGCTTCCTAAACTGACTTTCAGAGAAATATCTCCATAAACATACTAAAACCATGGGGGGATCGGGTTAGGGTAGGCTCATCGCGCACGCAATAACTTATAAAATAGCTTTGGTGGCTCCAAGAACTTTATTTCACCAAATCAACAGATGGATAAGATATGAATAGGACAATTTTCATTTACTTTCTATGTTGGCGTATCGAGTTATACCACCGCAAAGTTCCCAGCACCTGGATTCGAGGCGGGGTTCGCGGGTGCAATAAACAAGGGGTACGTCCACACTGCACCAAAAAGCACCCAAACTGGCTTTGGTGGCAAAATGTTTTGTATTTCACAGAGTCAAGGGATGAATAACTACTAGAATACAAAAATCCAGAAGCCTCCTATGCTGGCTTTTAGAGATACATTACCGTAAACGTACTAAATATGTGAGTGAATCGGGATAGGGTAGGCTCGCTGCGCACACAATAACTTCTAAATTAGCTTTGGTGGCTCCAAGATCTTTATTTCACCAAATCGACAGATGCATAAGGTGTGAACATGCCAAATGTCATTAACTTTCTATGTTGGCGTATCGAGATATACCACCGCAAAGTACCTAGCACCCGGATTCGAGACGGGGTTCGTGGGTTCAATAAATAACGGGTACGTCCACGCTGGATCAAAAAGCACCCAAACCAGCTTTGGTGGCAAACTGTTTTGTATTTCACAGAGTCAAGGGATGAATAAACGACGAGAATACAAAAATCCAGAAGCCTTCTATGCTGGCTTTTGGAGATATATTACCGTAAACGTACTAAATATATGGGGAATCGAGTTAGGGTAGGCTCACTGCGTACACACACAATAACTTCTAAACTAGCTTTGGTGGCTCCAAGATCTTTATTTCAGCAAATTTCTTTGGGGGGGGGGGTCTATTACATATTATTATATACTTTGCATTAATATGTCTTAAAATGTTATTTTCTAATATAAAGGTAACAATTATTTTCGTGATAATTATAACTAGGTTTTTATTGGCGCTAGGAATATGTGTGCTAACTTCATTTCGAATCCGAGTGCTGGAATACGGGTGAGAGATTCCGCTCGGTTACTATAAGATTCTTTAACCTTACCCAAAAAAGGGTTTTAGAGACCTGTCAATTAAATAAGATATTCAATTTAATTTTTAACAAGAAATTGATTCACTTGAAATATCTGTTTTTTTTACCGATGAGAACAAATAAGAATAGTCTCGTTAAGCCAGACTATTATCTTTCAGAATCCTCTAATCGTCGAACTGATTACAGTATAGAGCCTGGACGTTGAAGACTAACAAAATCGA